GCAAATAGTGCAAGAATTGGTAATTATTTAGAAGACACCCTTCACCTTCAATTTCAGTGAAATTATGCTCATTCGTGTTTTTGCATGAAACGAAAAAATCTGGTAAATGTTGTGCCTAGTCCCGCGAATCGAGATATTAAGCGTTGAAGTTGACAACTATTGAGGTTAGGAAATCTGTCAGCTGTGAAATATCGCGATGAAAGCATGTACTGCGATCACATTTTTATGTTTTATGGCTACATGTGCATAGGTTTTTTACTAACTTACTTCTACAGCGATATATAATATTAATGTTTATTTATTAATATTCAAATCATCTTCCTTTCATTGTTTAGGGGTTTACAACTTTTCAGCACACAGCAAGAACAAAACAGGCTTTTGTTTTAATAAAAATGCATCGAATGAGTCTAATTTCATTAAATTCGGAGGTGAAGTAACGATTCTAAGTAAATACAGACTAAAATACGTGTATATAGCGCTGCATTAAGTCGATGGGATAGATTTCTTAACCACAATGTCATCAACTTTAACGCTTAATATCTCGGTTTGCGGGCCTAGGCATAATATTTTACTGCCAGATTCTTTCGTTTCATGTAAAAATGCGACAAATGAGCATAATTTTATTAAATTGAAAGTGAGAGGCGTCTTCTAAATAATTATCTGAGAATTTATAAGTAATAAAATGATAAATATATATAAATAATAGCAAGCCTACATATAAAAACATTTTGTGTCATTATTACCTTTAATCAAGAATTTTTTTTAATGAAATTGCATTCATTTTCATCACACGAATTAAATACTTCCATGTAAATAATATGGGACGCTATTTTTATCTTACTCTAAAATGTTTTTTATTCCTTGCATGCTTACACTTACCAATTCTGGATTGCACCAGTTCAATTCAGTTCAGTTCTAGTGCAATCCTCGTGCAGGAACAGAAAACAAACCTCTTGTTCAGAGGTTCACTCCATTGTCAATCTACTGATATAGCATATATCAATAGACTTTATATCTTTGTCAACATTGTCAGATATTACAGACTTTGTGTAAAATTGTTTTTCTGCTATCAAATTGATAGAATGCTTTGCTTAAAATCTGTCCCTATCTACAAACTTGGCTATCTAGATCATCAAGTATCTCATTTCACAGAACAGAGCGATACGTTTTTGTTTTTAAACTTTTGTTTTTTTACGTGAAAGACAATCAAATATGTATATTATTATTAAAATATAACTAGATGCTTACCCAAAAGATATTAGAATACAGTCTTTTTAAACTGTTGATATGGAATCAATCTTCCGTCGGAAACCGTCTTTTTGTCTCTTGACTGGCACCAGACTCATATGGACTCGTATTCTCGTACAAGTAATGAAAGGAAAGACAGTGATGCCAATTCGCGGCCGCTTTCACTTACAGCACGCTATGGCATGTGGAGGGGGATAATGGCTCATACACACAGAATGCGAGAATTAAGGGCAATTCCAATGTAAATCGGGCGGCATACAATGCTTGTTTTTCTGCTGGATTAAGCCTATTCTACAAAATGTGCTCTTTGTTTTCTTTTTCTTGTTTTTTACCTCTTACTTTTTACCTCCTTTGCAATCTTTTTATTGACAATTGCATTTCTTACTACGTATTTCCTGTTTCTTCCGAAGTTTGTTATAATTTGGTCTGTTCGACTTGCTTATACTTTTTTATTAAAACTGCTTACCTTTTACATTTAAAATGAGATAGACATATATTTGACGCCGAAAAGAGAGAAAGCAAAGATGTTGAGTGTAAAAAGTGTAATTTTATTATTCTACAAATCTATTATTCTACAATGTGCTTTTTGTTTTCTGTTTCTTGCTTTTTGCTATTTTTTACATCTTGTCTTCCAATTTTTTATTTTATGTCGTCCGAGATAAATATTAATAACGTCTTTTATTAACTCTTTCAAGACGCTAATACGGTCTTCTACGGATTGATTCGTGACTTCTTAAGACTGTACTTAAGATGGTTTTGAATATAAAATCTGAATATAAATACCGGCCTAAAAGATGAATCATTAACCACCACGCTTGAAATCGCGTACTATGTGCACTTCGGTCATTTTAACGCGACAATGAATGCATCCAGAAGCACGATCGCTCACTAAGCGCTCAGTGAGCTCTTGCATCTGATTGGCATATTCCATTAGATCTAAAAATGTAGACCAACCAAGTAAAAGAGCTCATTGAGTTCTCAGTGAGCGATCATGCTTTTGAATGCATCTATTGACTGCGTTCAGCAGAGAAAGCAGTTTTGCAACTATTGTAAAATTCTTCAATACGATTGGTTCTTGCTTTTAATTTCTTATAGATCTAAACGTATAAACCAATTATATTGCAGAATTTTATACAGTTACAAAGTTGCTTTCTCTGCTCTGAACGCAGCCATTTTCATCTCATTTCAAAATACACAATCGATCCTCAAGAGATCTTTTCAAATCGGAATGATTCCCTAATAAATTTCTACTGTGTTTTCTAAGGAAAATGGAATAATTCCAATTGGAAAAATTATTCCGATTTGTTCCATGATAGGTGTCCAGATGTCTCTTCGGTCGGTCGCGAATCACGACGCGCGACGAGTCACGGAACACGGAACGCCGCGCCACTTTCGCGGTCGCAAAAACAGTCGGCGAGCGAGTGCGGCGCAAACAGCTGATATCGTTTCTGCGGTACATCCCTTACGTACGGAAGCACATGTCCGCCTCGCGATAATCACGTCACGGTAATCGCACTACTTACTCCCTGTTACTCCCGTGTATTCTTCCAGCGATCGGTGAACGGTGGAATTCGAAGGCACGTGCTCGTGGCCACACCGGTGGTACTGAGCGCTCCGTCCCCGAATAGTCGCATGCGATGAACTACGGCCGGCGATAACCGGCATACCCTCATCGTCCTCGTCGTCGTCGTGATCGTCATCGTTATCGTTTACCTGCAGGGAGAACATGGCCGATCGCGATAGCGCGTCCGAGAGCGATTCCAGCTCGATCGATGGTGGACCGATCATGATGCCGCCGTCGCCGATTACGCGCGAACAGCTGCAGAAGCGCATCGAGTCTTTGCAGCAGCACAACCGCGTCCTCAAGGTCGAGCTCGAGACCTACAAGCTGCGGGTGAAGGCCCTACAGGAGGAGAACCGCGGTCTGCGTCAGGCGTCTGTCATCATTGTGAGAATTGATTCTTTCTTGTTTCTCAATTTCTTTAAGCTTGTATCAGACTAGAGATTAGACTTGTTCTTTTTATGCCACTTTCGACTGATATAGATTACATTTAATCTCGGTTCAACGTACTTTTTATCTTTTTATCTTTTTCTAGTTCTTAGAAAAGATGAAGAGTAAGTTGAAAGATCAAAGTTTAATTTTATATTAGGGGAAACAGGTATTAGCTGAACTTGCAAGGTTCAACTTTCTTCTTTTCTTCACATTGGATAAAAAGAGCGAAAAGATGAACTATGCTGGAAGTTCAGCTAAAAAGGATGAACCTGTTAAAATGAAGATAGAATTTGATCAATCAAAGCAAAATTTATAGAACTTGATACGTTTTCTTTCTCGTGATTAGTTCAGCCTCAAGGTAGTTATAATCAGTTCTTATTTCAAGACCGTCTTAAGTAATGTCTTAATTATGCTAATACGACTCTCTAATTGGTTTGTGATACCTCAAGACAGAACTTAAGACGGTCTTGAATATATAAGAACTGACTATGAATACTGACCTGAGTAAATTTTTAATTTGATATAGACATATTAGGCTTATTTTTATTAGCTGAACTTCTTGCAAGGTTCATCTTTCCTCTTTTTTTCACATTGGAGAGAAAAAAAAAGGAAAGATGAACTATATAAAAAGTTCAACTAAAAAGAACTCCTTTTATTGCAATTTAGTTAAAAAGAATAGGATTTTGTGAGTACCAAGAAGATGCAACCTTAGTAGTACTATATCATACTGGTGATAATTTATGAGACAAATTTGAATGTTAATTAAGACACTGGCTGTTTCTATTTTATTCTATATTTGCAAAAAGCAAAAGCGAGTATGTATTACGTTTGGGATTCTCTGATATTTGTAGCAAGCGAAGGCCGAGCAAGAAGAGGAATTCATAAGCAACACCTTGCTGAAGAAGATCCAAGCTTTGAAGAAGGAGAAGGAAACTCTGGCTCATCATTATGAACAAGAGGAGGAATGTCTCACCAACGACTTATCACGAAAGCTGAACCAATTGCGACAGGAGAAATGCAAACTTGAGCAGACATTAGAGCAGGAGCAAGAATGTTTGGTGAATAAGCTGATGAGGAAGATCGAGAAGCTGGAGGCAGAGACGTTGGCCAAGCAGAGCAACCTGGAGCAGCTGCGACGCGAGAAGGTCGAACTAGAGAACACTCTGGAGCAGGAACAGGAGGCGTTAGTGAACAAGCTGTGGAAGCGAATGGACAAACTTGAGGCTGAGAAAAGGATGCTGCAGATCAAGTTGGATCAGCCTGTTTCTGATCCTACTTCACCTAGGGAGATCAACAATGGTGACACCGCCACAAACTTGAGCACGCACATTCAAACTCTGAGAAGCGAAGTCGCTCGATTAAAGCACACTTTGCTGATTTCACAGCAAGAACGTAAGGATACCATCTTTAATAATAAATTAAATAAAACTACTGATCATTTAATACAAAATAGTCTGCAAACTCATTATTGACACATAAATATTTTTTAATATTTTTCCAAAATTCACAATTGGTTTATTAAGCGTAGAATATTTTTTCTCTAAAAATATAATATTTATATTGCTTACGTTAACCTTTGTAAATATTTGATCGTAAATTTATACGAATTAATCATATACAAAAATCACTTTAACCTTAAGTGACCTTATGCATATTTAATAATACTTCGATGTAAATACGTTTTCAAATTCATCTTCAAATATAATTTTAAAGACGCTTTTTTTGTTTTCGATCTGCAACGAAAACTTTATCGAATTTAGTCTCCTAAAGTCATTGATCGTCATTGATCGTTTTTAGATACGGAAAAAATGAAGCGGTACGTTAACGAAGAGAAGCAAATACGCGAGGAGAATTTGAGACTGCAGAGAAAGCTGCAGCTTGAAGTGGAGCGTCGCGAAGCCTTGTGCAGACACCTCTCGGAGTCTGAGTCCAGGTCAGAGTTAAATTCTACAAACTCTGCTCATTAATATAATATCTTAAAATTATTTTTATTATCTTAAACTATAAATTATGTTAAACTATAAATTTGGCATAACTGAATCTTAGACTTGAAAGATATTTATTGTTCCTAATCTCACAGACATGATTTTCGCAGCTTGGAGATGGAAGAGGAACGGCACTACAACGAAATTGTGATGTCTGGGGGGAACATAAGAACCCGCACAGTGTCCAGTCCTGTGCCCTATAATCCTTCGCCTAGTTCTTCAAGGCCACTAAGTCCTGGTGAGTCTTGACAAAACTTATAGATAGAAAATATTTAAATAAATGGAACTTTTAAAGATATAACTATAGTATAAGAATATAAGGTATTTCATTGCGTGTAATGGCCGGCAGACTAAATCAGGACAACCAATCAAATATTTGTCCTAAATCAGAATAACTAATCAAATGCTTATCCTGAACTTAGGACTTTGATTGGTCAAAGAGCAGCCGCCATATTGGAGACAATTGCACATCCTTGGAAATAAAATACCTTATATTCTTATACCATAGATATAACAGCACAAAATCTAAAATAATATAATTAACGTTTTCTCGGAATGCATGTTTCATGTTTAGCGGATTCATGTGAATGCGAGTTTTATTATTAGGTGTTAACGTGCTAGGTTCCACATCCAGAGAGGGCTTCAGTGCAAACCGGTGCTATGCTTGTGGTCAACCGACTGCCCCTCCGTTTGCGAGCTCGTCGCCTCCTTCAGGGGTAAATTATTGTGTACAGAACTCAATGTTGGAAATTAATTAATTATTTGTTAGATATGATATGCGAGATATTTCTTTCTTCTAAAGGATATTTTTTATCAAAAATCTTGCTTTAAAGAAGAATTCTTACCATAAATCAATTTTTCTTCAGTTAATATCTAGCATTGCTCGACGATTACATTCAATAATTATAGGAAAATGCTCTTTGGCATTTTTGAGAAACAATTGCTTCATCTTTATTTGTATTCGCGAATGTTTACTGAAACAGGGACACATCGTGGCATCATCCAGCAGACGAACTTCGGATCGTTTCGTCAAACCGGCGATTCCACCCACTATCGTGAGTCCCGGTGGACCGCCGACCATCGCTCCCAATCCTACGGTGAACCCCGTCGCCGTGCCCCATCCAGGGTCACCAATGGATATTGCGAAGACATAAGTCATCAAGTTGAGGAGAGGGCTCTCCACAGAAACCCCTTTTATATAGTCGTGCGCAAGGTACTTCTCTAAACGGTGCGTTCCAGCTAAAAGATGCGCGGGGAAATCCCCGCTTTGGTTTGAAGCACCACCGTCGGCGCGTTTTCTTCTCGGATGTTTCCGTTTGTTAATTACTACTTCAGCTCTAATGTATAACACACGGGCTACGGCTAAGAGAGAGAGACTTAATTATTTCGATCTGAATGAGCAGATATAGAGTTAAATGATGCAGTCGCGGAAGCGTCTCGCCTCTCATTGTCAGTCGCGGGGTAGTTTTTTCCGACCTCCCGCTTCTTCGGTGATTCCTCTTGCATGATGCCTGAAGTATCATTCAGACTGAGCTCTTTATCGTACTATGCAATTAATATCGTTTGAGTGTTCTACATAAGAGAAATGATAAAAAAAAAAAGAAACGTTGACATGTTGCTTCCATGTTCCAAGTAATCATAGCATAAATATTAAACGCGAACGCTGAATGGACATCTACATGGCATATTGTAATCTTACTGTGCGTTTAAGAACGTAAACGAAAGTAACTAGGGTGTAGTGTCGCGGTGTTCACACGATTTAACAGGTATACATTTGTTTAGCTTTGAGCCTGAGTAATCACTTAGCGCACGCAGTACTGATAGAGGTGGAAGCATAACTTTAGAGAAAAGATTTTGTTAGTTCCTTCGAAGGGATTGTCTGATCTTAGAATGCGCAATCAGGTAGAGTCAGATTTCAGGGAGATCTTAGCGATCAGGAGACTTCGGTATCTGAGAAACTTGGAATTCGATAATTATGAATCTGTGTGTGTACGTGTGTGTGAGAGAGAAAGAGAAAATGTGACAATTCAAGGCCCTAAAGTTCCAAGGATTCAACAGTCCAACGATCTGAGAATCTAAAAAACAGACTTGTGAATTTAAAAAAAAAGTGTATGCTCGAAACGCTTAAATATATCTAAATGTCTATAAATATATATACGTATACATACATACATACATACATATATATATATATATATATATATATATATATATATAAAAAAAATTGTCGTATCGAGATGTTTAAAAAAGCAATGTTGAAGCAAAAGGACCATTTTTGCTTCAACGTTGAATAACTCAATCAAAAAAAATCGTACAAAATTCGTAAAAAAGTAAATTAAAGGTAAAGATTTGCTCTTTCGAATGATATAAATCGCATTTATATATAATTTTTATTCTACTCCGTAGAGCTTCGCAAATTTCATAAAAAATTTTGAGATTTGATATATCTTCATTTATGTTTGTGTAACTTCAT